TTAATTCGCTCCATTAGTCGCCTTGATTTAAAGTGCAAATATTTTAATCGATTGTCTATTGCATTGAAAGGGAACCTCCCGACAAACATGCAAATGAGGAAGAGACAATGTTCCAGCGTCGTGTTTACCTCTTCCTGCGACACTTCCGTCGGAGCCGTCTGTTTGTCGCATACATTTAAATTAGCTAACATTGACTATTGTGGCAGCTGCGAGGAAGTGTGCAACTAAATTAGTCTCCGTTCATATCTCGACACACAATCCATTTGCGATCTTGTTACGACAAAGGAGCTCTGCACCGCTGGCAACACCGCCATAAATTCCCGGCCTTAATACTCGGGGCTGGCATTTTCTCTCGATATTTTTATTACTGCAGCAGCACCGCCTCTACATTTTACTACTAAGCACCGGAGCAAAATGTCAACTTTACATAAATACCGCCCTCTCGATCTTTGCAAATTTATTACGCTAGAAGTACTACACTCTGACGTCGTCACCTCCGCACGCGTTGCTGCCACACCATCTCAGCAACAACGCAGCTTTAATAACATTGCTGATTCCTCTTACTACAGCAGCTTCGTATCACTACTACTAGCCCATTTCTCTAAGCGATGGCGCATTTGTTACTGTAGCAGCATCATACGAGGCGATAACCCTTCCGTGACTAGCGAAAAACAATCATAATTGCAAGATCCACCGCTCGGTTTGTCTCCCCATTTTTATTACTACAGTAACACAAAGATACCACACTCCATTTCGGTCTGGCCAACTTTATTAATACATCAGCACCAGATGAGATATTAAAAAAAGAAGGGAAACTACACAACACTTCCGTGCAACGCGCGGACAATCACCAATTGAATGAGTTTCGCAGCTTCACGCACGGCAACACACAAACACACACGCTTATTACCCTAGCAGCACGCAAAAGCGCTGAAATTACATAACGAAACGTAACAAGAAATGGCAAAAAATAAATGTTAACTAACAGAAGAAAGAATCAATAGAGGAGAAAGCGAAAAATCAAAACTGATTCAATAACGAATATCTTCCTTTATATATATATATACTTTTAGGGGTTTTGGAATCTTTGGTAGTGTGTGTGTGTGTGTGTGTCTGTGTGTGATGTAATAGTAACAGCAGCAGCGGCAGCAGAGAAGAGGAGCACAGCAGTAGAAGCAGCAGCAGCAGCAACATCTTCTCGTGACTTCAAAATCAGATTTACAAGCTCCGTTTCGATTAGACATAGATTTAGATTGACGTATGGAATTCTCTCTCACTGTCAAAAACTACCCAAGGTTTTCAATATGTGTAGAAACATGTCTGACAGGTACAAATGCTCTCCATTTCCAGTCTGTCATCTGTTTACATTTAAAGGCAAAACTGCAGACTATCCGATTAGATTCAAGTTTGCTTCTTTCGCACATACTCGCGCTCTGATATATCTCTTCAACATACAGACATACTAACACACGCGCTCACAAAACAACCCTCTTTTCCTTACAAACGACGCGTTTAACACTGCTACACGAAATCTAAATTATTTAGTCGTTACATTTTCATTTTAAAATCTTAACGACCTCCTCCTCCTCCTACTACTACTACTACTACTACTGCTACCACCACCACCCCCGTTTCCAAGTCTCGAAACGGGAGTAAAGAAGGGGAAAAAAGGAGCAGAGAGGTAAAAAAAGAAGCAAAGCAGGGTTCTCGTTCTGTTTTGGAAATGAGCGAATGGGGGCGAAGATGGTAATGAGTAAAGCATAAGGTGACGACAAGGAGGAAAATAACAGTGTCACTTATTTGATGCACCGTCGTCTCACGTGACTCGGTTTCCAGCGGGGGGTGGGGAAACGGGGAAAAACTCGTTTACACGGGGCTGGGGCGTTTAATATCGAACGGGAAGGTTAAGTTTCGGAGGAAGGAAGACGAGGAGGGAGAGAAAGAAGAGCCGGCGATGCCCTAATACCTCGGGGGTTCTTTTTTCTTTTCTTTTTTTAATAATTAGTGGCAATCGGTAGCTGGCACGGGTCTAGAAACAGAGAAGAGCAGCTTTAAAGTTAGTAAATCAAAGAAAATACGGGAAATCAAATTAAAAAAACGAAGAAAAGGGGGAGGAAAATCGATGACAATCAAGTTTTCGAGTTCTTCTTGTGGAAATAAGAAATAAAATGTCTAATTCGTTAGTCAGTCCAACAAAATTTTTGATTCTGCTCCCCTTCCCCTCCTCCTCTGCTCCGATAATCAACGACGGAAGTGTATGTTTTCTATCCAATGTCCAGCTATGTCGTTACCACTAAACTGCGCCTTATACGCGATCGCTAAGTACAGAGCAGTTTCTGTGTGTGCGGGGGGAGCTGGAAACGGGGGACGAAAGAGCCGAATTATTTTCGGGAACAAATTCTTCTCCGTAAGAGTAATGCACGGTTGACTAAACAGTATCTTTAATGCCGGAGGAATTTTTTTTTCCTCTTCCTCCCTCCGTTTTTGCATGGCTGCTTCCACCTTGTACAATCAGAGACGGAAAGAGGGGGGAAAGAGGGTAGTAGAAGATAAAAAAAAAAAAAAAAATGTGACTTTCCTTTAATAGTTACTATACCGAGATAGAGAGAAAAAGAAAGAGAGGGAGGTATAAGACACTTGTAGGATAGAAAATATGTAATGCTTTTTTAGTAGAAGGAACAGTTAGTGGGGTGGAAATGCTCCTACACAGTTATCACCTTAACGGAGCAATTAAATGTGGAAATTCAGCACGAGGGATAAATGTTATTGCCAACGAACGGGGGGAAATCCTCCAGATCATTTTCTTCAATGTACTATCACCCAAAAGGGGGAATGTCTCTCTGCAAGATGAAGTCTTCCGACTGGATAAAAATGTTAAATGTTTTCCTCTGATATAAGGGAAAAATCCTCTAGATCGGAGTGGACGGGAGAAAATGGTAAAAGAAAATTCCCGGCGTGTAGAGGCATGCGAAAAATCTCCAAGGCACGGAAATCAGAAACGGTAGAATTTTCCTCCGATGTAGGAAAAATTCTCGATAATCGAAAATTTCCCTAATTTCTAGGGGATAGAATTCTTCAGACAAAGAGATAGTGGCAAAAATGGCATTTTCCTCTGCCATATGGGAGAAATCCTATAGATAGCTATGTCTAGGCAGAATGGTAAAAATTTTCCAGAACGAAACTTCCTCCACGATTACGGGGATTAAGACATTGTAAGCTAAGGCGGGGAGCAAAAAGGTTAAAAAACTTCCCCACTAACACGGTACTAACTCCTGTAGGCGAAGTAAAATCTCCATCACCTTTGCGCAGATACGTAGGAAAAATCGGTAGAAAATGCCCGCGCAAAACGCCGGATAAAATCCTCCAGACATTAGTAAGACGTTGAGATGGTAGAAGGATGGGGGATAGAGAGAAAACGTTAGGAGACAATAGGACCGCGGCGGTATAATAAAAGATGGAGCGCATTTTAAGTAGGTAAGCAAGTGTAGAACAATAGGAAATTGCGCGCGCGTCGTCGTGCCCAAGTGGTCGGGTGGAATTTTGTCGCCATCGAGCGTCGAGTTATCAGTAGGAAGTGACCGTTTGGATTACGTTAAGTATCCCTTCATTACAGGAGAGAGACACGTAGGCGAAGGACAACAAAGCGCCTTACTCGCTCCAAGGTAGTTTATTACTATCCAACGAAGCACACTTAAGTAGTGTTTAGCAATACCGCTCTGGGGAAAATTAATCACGGCAGCGAGAGCCTTCATCTGGATAGTCTGTTGGTGCAGGCAAATCAATAAGACTCGACTCTCTCCCCACCGTCTTGCCTATTAGTGCTAAGCCGTGCGAGTTGGTAGGCAGAGGGAAGGAGGGTAAGAAAAAAAAGAAGGGGAAAAAAAAAGAAATTACATTCTGCCAGCTCTGTAAACTGAGAGACGTCTTAGCTAATCAAAAAACTCCAAGCCCGGAGGCTACTTTTTCCCTTTACAAGAATTTTCCTCCTCTCCTTTTTTCCCTCCCCTCGCCAGCTACTTCAAAATGGCATCCTCGTCGCATTTTAATAACGTTTTTTCTACCTCCCTTCTAAGAAATAAAATAAAATAAAAAAAATACTGCGTGTAAAGAAAATGCAACATCTCCACCCCCTCACCAACTTAAAATCCTATCGGCGCTAGTTCGGGGGAAAGACCTCCGGATACCTCCAAAATTAGTACCAAACGGGGGGATTAGCGGGACGATCCCGAAGTTCCCGACGAGAAGGTATTATTTTAAAAACTGAATTAATTTCTGCGGGGTATAAATTTATGGGGGGAAAAAACCCTGTAGATACTTCTGAGTTAGTGGGAAACGGAGGATTAGCGGGATGATCCGGAGCGGTGCGGCGGGCATATTTTAAAAACCGAATTAATTTCCGCGGGGTATGAATTTATTACCAAATCTAATCCTTTGTTAGTAGGAAAATGATCGGGAACGGGGAGATATTCCCCGCTCCTCATCAATTGGACTTAATCAGAAGTAATGACGAAGTTACAAGGTTTCTCCCTTCGGGGATTTACCATCCATTACGATATTAAATGTAGTGATTTGTGATCTACCCTTACCTGCGTCTCGCTGGTGTCCCGACCCATTACCTCCGATCGAGGTAGTAGTGCATCAGCGGACGCAAATCCTTCCTCGCAATTGGCTGTTCGTGATTTCCTCCGATCTCGCTCGCCCGACGATTATTATAAAATAAGTTCCACCCGGATAACCGGATTTACGGGGGAGGATGCGGACGGTTTTCTGCCCGTCGTCGCCCTCTGATGCTCCTGTCGTGTGTGATGGGCAGACTACAATTTGCAAATTGTGGTCTCTACCTCCACTCCTCGGTGCTGAACGGAAAAAGTTTGGCACAAGGAAAGGAAGTAGAGACACATACATTAGAGAGGATCCTCTATCTAATGTATGTATGTTTGTGTTTGTTTGTGTGTTTGTTCCTCTGTCTGTGTAGAAAACACAAAAACAACTTTCTGCAATTTTTCTTGTCAAAGGGGAAAAGGTTGCTTTTTATTCAGCCAACAAATTTTTCATTCCAATAATATAATAAACCATCTACTGAAATTTGTTTGTTTTCTTCTGAAACTGGACGTTGGACCGTGGCGGACGTGTGGAAACAGACTAACTGGAGAGAGGGTTCCGTTCCTCCCGTGCTTCTGGGGTCGTGCTAATCTGTCGGCGGTTTCGCCACGGTTACCGGTCGCGGGTCGTCTGGCCGAATGGGACGATCGTCCCCCAACCGTTTCTGGAGAGCGTGGTTAAAATTTTCTCAGGGTACTCTGGGGTGATTAAAAATAAAACAGGCTTGGAGTACTTTTTTCGAACTATTAGCACCATTACACTATTGACGACTTTTGTATCGCGTCTTCTCGAAACGGCCGTTCGGTCTGACGGTTATTTTTCTTATTCTGGCTGAAGTTTTTTTACCTTTGGGTGGAGCAACAAAATTGTCTTTGCGATAACACTTTTTTTTATTTTTTCTTGTAAATTTAAATTTGTGTAACAACACTCTTACGAGAGAATCCTCATGCTTTCGACCCAATATAGTCCCGGTTATATCAAGTGTGGGAATCCGTTTGGCCTAATTTGACTGCTTGGACAAATTTCTTCTTGTCCGTCCTTCTGTGGAAGGTAGCAGTGTGTTCTAAGGTGAGAATCTCCTTTGCCACTTTTTCTGCCAAATGCTTCCTCGACTGTGTAATCCTTGTGATCAACCCTGGCTCTTGGAAGAGTTACGCCACTTGGAGACAAATTCCTCCGTGTTCTCCATGTTCACACCTAAAGAATTAATGGGAGAATTTGGAATTAGATTTATATGTAACAAACAAAACATTTTGCAAGAAATCTTGAGGATAATGTGGATGGTTGTATGTTCTTGCAGATTATTGGGATTAAAACAATGAACGGCTATTGGCTCAGTACAAAGTTAGCTCAAATATTTAATTACTTACCTACTGACAGTGCAAGAGTGGAGGCATTTGGAGGCAACATATTACTACCACCAGTAATCAGAGTAACTAATGGAACGTCGGAATTGCTGTTCGATCCTTGTTGATTTAAATAATGGCAACATTCCAAGATCTTAAAAAAATCCCTGCAAGAATAAAAAAATTGAATACTCATTAGTCATTACTGCTACACAAATTATTGATTAACAATAATATCTAGAAATATTTTTTTGGTAGGAAAGAGGCAGGATGGAAAAATAAGCCAGTCATTTATAAATCAACTGAAAGTCATGGAAAGAAAAAAAGGGCTGCGAGCATTGTTTAATACAGAAATTAAGTTTGGAGATTCCCATTTTTCTGAAACCAAAGTCTAAATAATAACCAGTTTAAAAAAAATTTAGTAATTAAAGTAATATTTGCCAATGTTTAAGCATCTTTCAAATTTTCCTATAAAAAAATAATATACGAAGCAGAAAAGATTCGTTTATGGGCATTAAAATTGAAATACTCTAGATAATGTATAAATTTGTTTCCAAACTCTACCAACAGATGGCGCTACCTCACAGACACACCCTCAAGCAGCAAAATATAAATAAAAATGGTACAAGCTTACCATGCTTCTTTATCCTTCTTCTTTGGATATTTCACTAGAGTCAGACTTAATCTTTCCTGTTGTTTCTGCGCCCTCATGTATCTAAATAAATAAATAAATAAATCTTTTATCTTAATTCATAATCAAAATCTATTAAATCTATTATGCTTACCTGCTACCTCTACGTAGTTCCGATTCCAGCCAGCGTATTGCCTCTCTGGCGCTTGGACTCTCTCGTTTTATTTGATCTAGATTTTCTATAACTGCAGAACAAAATGGTAATTAATAAATTATGTAATTTCTAAATAGACGTAGAGATTCAACAATTCTATATTTAGCTTACCTACTGTAGGGATGACCAGAATGAATCTTTTAGTTGCTACCAACTGCTTTAATAGAGTAAGTTGACTACAGAGAGACCCAGTGTCGGGAACTAAATAGGGAGACAACTGAGGAGTCGAACTGCCTTCGACTAATACTTCCAAATCGTTGACTTCGGCCTGTGTAAATTTATAACACAGTTAGAAATATCTTGAAAATTTAGCATTTAATATGATTATCATGATCTTACTTTGAGCCACAGATGAGCCATGCTTCTCATCATTTGTTTTCTTTGATTTTCTAGTTCTTTGTTATCGACCTAATGTAGCAAATGTGATAAAAATTTGAAATTTGTTAAATTTTTGAATAAAAATTTGAAATTGTTAATTTGATCATATAAAAATTTTAACTCACTTCTTTCTTATTTGAGGTTTCCGTTTCATTCAAATTTATTGTTCCATTAGTTGATGGGATAATGGCATACAACTTATTCTCAGAATTAAAAGTAATTACTTTGTTGCAACACTTGCACAATACAGAACCAAAATTCAGAAGACACTGAAGGCGAAGAAAAGTCTGAAAAACATTATTTTAAAATTATAAAGGATGCTTTTTTGTATAATAAACTTTTAATAATACCTTGTTAAAACTAATAGCAACTTTAAATAGAAGTCACTGTCAATTTACACATTACATAAGAACAAAGTTGAAACACCACATATATGGAGCATTTTTTAATATTAAATACTCATCTTTTCTGGCAAAATCAAATACTTTGTGAAACATATGAAAATATAAACACACAGGGATAAAATCTATCTAAACTATGCTTTTTAAAAATTATATATCATTTTATTTATCACATCTAAAAAAAATGGAAACAACACACATTTATGAATTTTTACATAAATACAACTTTGTTAAGAATGTATCTTTTGCATAATTCAAATACAACCTTCCTACAGAAAATAGTTAAATTATGAAAGTTGTAATTTCAAATCTAGTTGTATAAATAAAAAATTACTCAATTTGCAGATAAATCCAGAAAAGTTTTATAACAAAAGTAACAACTGATACATGTTATCATCTTCAATCACTTTAATCCTGTTTAAGTGATTGAAGATGATGATGATGATACAATATCCCAACAAATAAGAAAAAAATAATAAATAAATAAACTAATATGTATTTTTTAAATCATCAAAAATGTTTAAAGACAAGCACAAAAAAAAAAAAATAACGTGGACTTGATACATCATTCTCATTACATATAAACAAAACCTTACTAAAGTCCAAGGAAGTAATAAAAATCCATTCAAATTGATTTTATGTTACCTTCAAATTATAACCGTTAGGTAAATTTTTGTTCTAGTTTAAAGTGGTTTTTTTTAAAAATATTAACTGAAAATGATCCAAATTTTATATAATATTAATCAGTAAAGATCCAAATAAAGTAGACTATGCTTACTCTAAGTACAGATATTGTTAAATATATAACTTAAAATACAGTTTAGGCACCTTTAGGCTGCCAGTTTCAATGTGTGATTAATAGCACAGTTGTTTATCAAGCTTAAGCAGTGATTTAATTCATTTTACTCAACATTTACACATAGTACAGTAAATTGTCAGTCACTTCAGTTGTATGCCAAACAAATTACTATTAAATAATAAAAAATGATGAATTAATCTTCATTTATACACTTTAGATTGTTTTTTTTAATGTCAAAATCAATAAAATCAGAGTTTCTGGTAAATCCCACTCATTATTATTGGATGGTTATCATCAGTCCAAGTCCCAAATTAACCAATCGTAAGCAGATTTAAATGTATTTAATAATACATAAAAATCCTTTTAAACTTCATGAATAATTTTAAATTTAAACATCAAGACATTTACCGCAATCACTTGTTTTTTAATATATATACAATTGATGTGTGTGTAAAAGTATTTCTTTTATTCCATGAAGTAGTATGTATTGACATTTGGTTGACTCCCAACAGATAAAGAAAATGAAAGTATTCAGTATAAATGTTATTTACTTTCTTGTTATATGAGCAGTTTTGTACAATTGTTAGACAAAGATAAACGTCATAAAAAACACTTTTATTAATGAATTTTTTCAAATGGTTTCCTAAACAAAGTTTATTATTCATCATGCTTTGTGTATTTTCATTATTTAACTTAAGAAGAAAAAAAATTTATTAAATAATTATTATCTAGCAGGATATAAACATTAGTTTACATTAGTGACTATGTAATAAAAAATTACATAATTATAGAATTTTTATTAAAGGAGTTGGTTATTATGTAAATATTTATTTTTCTGATTTCAATTAGTTTTTATTACAAAACATTCAATAAATATTATTTTATATCTTGTGCCACTAAATAAATAATATACAGTGGGTGATCGGTTAACGAATAGATCGGATAACAAACACTTTCGCGAAAAATTTTTATGTTCGGACAACGAACACATGATCAAATAACAAACACCCCACAGAACAAACACAAGAAGAAGCGACGTAAAATAATGAATACCGACTGGACTTTCCTTGTCTTCGGGCAACAATTCGAAACTTTTCAAAGTGTGGGAGATGTCGACATTGACGCTCAAGCCAGTATATACCAATCGGATAGTATTCCTCCGAACTTTAAAACTCTCCCTTATAATTCCAGCCTTTTATTTTTATGACAAAATAATTCTTTTATGTATTTGCAAGACTGTCGGGTAGGCACTTGTTAAGTTTTGCATCTGTTTTTTTTTGTAAGGTGAGAGTATAATAGCAAAGGTAAAGAGTGGGCAGAAGATGCCTAATGTTGTTGGGCAGTATGGCGTGAACAGGTCTACAGTAGGCCGCAATTCATTTTTTTAAGAAAAATACTGTATAATCAAGAAGACTCGAGCAGCTAAAGGAGTAACAAAAATCACATCTGAGAAATATAGAACATTGAAGAGTTCATAATGGAACCTGAAATGGACAGAAGAATGCCATGAACTCGAATAAAGAACACCAAGAAACTCGGCGAGATATGTTTTCTTCTGAAAAACAGGATTAATGCCGATATCTGTTATTAAAGATCCTTTGAAGAAGTGTGAGGATGTCAGAACAACAGTCTTAACCCCTTAAGCCCATAACCCGAGATATCTCGGGCAAGTTACATAACGTTACATAAAATGAGGTCCTTAAGGCCATTTTTGAAAATTTTTTTTTTTTTGAATTTTTGGAATGTTTTTTAGGTCCCGAAATTTTTTCAAAATTTTTTTCCCGCGCAAAAAAATTTTATCGCGATTTTAATGAGCCTATGTGAAGGCTCGATTAAGGCTTAATTGTTTTTTAATGGGAGTTTTTTATCAAAATTATTTCATGGTTTTTAAGTTGTAGCGCACGGATTTTCATTCAGTAAAGTTATTTAAAGTTAGTTTCTGATGTCAAAAACGACCTCCGATGGTTTTTTAATTTTTTTAATTAATATATTTTTATAAATATATAATTAATTAATTAGGGGGGGTCGGAAATCGCAATAAAATATTGAATTTTTTAAAAATATTTAAAAATTTCTGTGTCGCTTATAGTCACCCTACTTTAAACCCTTGTCCTCCCGAGACGTCTATGAGAATGTCCCGGGAAATCGGACTCCAGCTGTGTAAACAATGACTCATCCGTGTTACATTTCACAGACAGGCGAAACAAAGGAAAATAAAATTTAAAGCTTTTTCTTCAAAATAAACGCATTTCTTTCGTTTTTTTTCTGTTTTAAGTATTTTTTACGTTTAATTGAAATCTATATAAAAAATGTCAATGTCCTTAAGGAGTTAAAATGGCATCCAAACCAGGTTGAGGCTTGGGGATTTCTACAATTGCAATGCTATTAATTACTTACGAAGAATCCTGAAGAAGATACAAAAGCAATCGACATTAGACAGATTCTTTAATCCTTTCAAACAGAAAAAACATGACTAATAAAACACGCAAGACTGTATGTATGTATTTTTATTATTACATATAAATAAACATAGTAAGAAAGTATATATTTTTTATTTTTTGGGGGTCTCCAGAACGAATTAATTAAATTCTCATTAAAACCTATGGTAAATTGATAATTGGTTAACGAACAATTCGGATAGTGAACAAAGTCTTGGAACGGATTATGTTCGTTAACCGATCACCCACTGTATTTAAATATGAACAATTAAAATATCCTTTTATTATTTTTTCAAAACCGCAATGCAGCGTAATAATCAACACTTGGCATAACTCATTCATTTATTTCAATTTTTGTTGAGACGCGTTCTTACACGTTTCGTCCCTCCTCAGTTAACTTTTAAAACCCTTTTAAAATCAAAAATTCCATCCTTTGATGTATTTCCACAAGTGGGAATCATACACTATACTTTACTAGACTTCAAAGGTTATTCACAGAAGATTCCTTAAAATATTGAGAAAAGACCATAATGGACATGTAGCATAGTTCTTCTTTTATCTTTATATAATTTTTTTAATAGTTCTTACTTAAACAACACAGCTAAACTTCACAGCATTTAATGGTGTTATTCTTTTATTGGTGATTTGCATAATAATGCTTCCTTCCAAAAATTTTTCCTTCTAAAAATCTTCAAAAGAACCCAGTTTTTAATTAAACTTAAACATTAACTTAAATATTAGCTGTATATTGAATTTATCCTTACATAATTATTCACAGATGGTTTCCGGAAATATCGAAAAGAGCTTCCAATGGGCATGCAGCACAGTTCTTTAATATTTACACTAATTCGTATACATTTTATATTATTAAACTTACTTTTTATCAATCTTTCTATCCTTATTTGTTGTTAATAATTCTTACCTAAATGGTTAAACTTCATTTTTTTAAATTTTTATTCTTTCAAGCTCTTAGCATCTAATGGCGTTTTCTTTGTATGATGATTTGCATAACCACACGTTCTTATTTAAAATTTATTCCAAGTAAGACCTTTAACTATTTTTCAGATTTCCTCTAAAGAACACTTCAAAAATTTTTTTTATTATTTTTCAAAAACCTCCTTTTTCTCGAAAATTTTTCTTTTTCAAAAATCTCTTACAGTATTTTTAGCCAATTCTCATTGATCTTTATACTTAAGTTTTTATTTATACAATGTTTATTTCTTAAAATTTCCATACTCTTTTTAAATTTTTTGCCTTAAGTTTCTTTTTCTTTATGTAGGATCTTTACATTATTTTGGTCAATATTACAGTTATTTAACGTACAATGTTCTAGAAAGGCTGAGTTGATTCTATGATGTTTTAAATCTGCCACGTGTTCTTTTAGTCTAATCTTCATCTTCCTCTTAGTTTCTCCTATATAATATTTTTTATTCTCACATGTACATGGGATTTGGTATACAATGTTTTTCATGTCTTCCACTTGTTGTTTTTCTTTTGACCTGAGTGTATTATTATTTAGTCTAGCAAAAAATTTTTTGTACTTCGGGGTAAAAGGAGAACTATGCTACATGTCCATTATGGTCTTTTCTCGATATTTCAAGGAATCTTCTGTGAATAACTTTCAAAGTCTAATAAAGTATAGTGTATGATTCCTGCTTGTGGAAATACATCAAAGGATGGAATTTTTTATTTTAAAAGGGTTTTAAAAGTTGACTGAGGAGGGGCAAAACGAAGCCCGAAACGTGTGTAAGAACGCACCTCAACAAAAACTGAAATAAATGAATGAGTGATGCCAAGTGTTGATTATTACGCTGCAATGCTGTTTTGAAAAAATAATGTAAAGATACAACATGGTTTTGAAATATGAAATAAAATATTCTTACTTGCTGGGTAAGAGATAAGCTCTTCTTTTTATCAAAGTTTAATTTATTATGAATATTTTCTAACAAAGGAAGATTTTGAAGTTCGATGTCTTCGGGAAGAGGATATTTTTGTTCCCAATCGCTGCAATTTCTGGAAAACTGAAGAAGACTGCCGATATCCAATTCTGTTTAAAATATTTTAAAATTTTATTAATAACAAATTTTCCAAATTATGTACTTTTTTAAACTTAAAATGTTAATTACTTACCATTAGCTGATAATATATTTTCTTCAATTTTTAAAAGAAAATTAAGAAGATCCACAACTTGACACCAAAGAAACTTTGAACTCTAAAAAGAATAAAAAAGAGAAATTAACATAATAAAAATGCCAAAATTATTATTATAGGGTTGGCCAATAAGTCCATGCAACTTTTTAACGTGAGAGTGAAAGAATGTTTTTAGATAAAGCACTAATTTCATTCAATAATGTATTGACTGTTTTGATCTACAATCTTTTGCCACCTTTTGGGTAGCTCCATAATTTCTTGTTCAAGAAACTGTTTTTCTTGACAAAACTTGTCCAAGTGCCATTTGATGCCTTCCACAAAAACAAAGTGCACATTTAAGGAATTCTGAAAACAGCAAAATGGATGGTAATTAGAGGTAGCAATATCTGGAGAATATGGAGGATGTGGTAAAACCTCCAGCCCAGCTCTGATAATTTTTGCTGTGTTTGCAAAGTTGAGACAGTATGGCATTGTTGTGACAGAAGACAATGCCCTTGCAGTTGCATTCAATTGTCCAGCTGGCCACAGTATACATCCAAATAGATTGTTCTGTTCTTTGGAAGCAGATTGTAGAACACAACACCCTTCTGGTTCCACCAAATTCAGAGCATAATCATGTTTGGCCAAAGTCTTGCTTTTGAAGTAGTTGTTGGTGTTTGCCAAGCTGTCTCCAAAATAGTTTTTGCTTAGTGTTGCATACAATCTATTTTTCATTGCCTATTATCATCATCTTCAGAAATGGAATTCTTTCCACATGTTCTCTTAGCAAATCACTGATGGAAATGTGCTCTAGAAGATTTGCTTCAGCTACTACTTTGTATGGAACCAAAACATCAAGTCTGCTAATGTTGCCAAGTTAATGCAAATGGTTTTTAATATTTGGAGAATGACTACAATCTTCCATGTCATGTAGCATGGTTTGGTATTAAATTTGCTCCTTCACTTTATTGGTCTCTCTCTCTCTCTTGTGGCTGGTCCAAGTGAGGTGTCTTGGACAGAAAAATCCCCATAATGAAAACTCTAAAATCATTTTTGGAATATGCGTTCTTTCAGAGCATCCTTACTGTACACCATACATCTTTTTACAGATTTACTGTTTTTTTTTGTCTTTTTTAAGTGTTCCAAAAATGCTTGTTTATTCATTTTTCCATCAATATAAAACACACAAAACACAATCAAACATTTAGAAAGTTTGAATCAAAGTTTGTTGCTTTTCATAATGTCTCTCACCAACTATCAATAAAAATTGCACGGACTTATTGGCCAACCCCATGTTGTTAATGAAACAATTACGACAGTTACCTCTTCACAAGCAGAAACTATTTCCGTATGAGTTTGCATCCAATCGAAAATTATTTTCAAACAGGGTAATAATCCTTCTTTGCTTAAGATATTTAGTGATTTCAGAGGAAGTAAAGTAATTGTAGATATGCTACAAATTATATAAACAAAAAAAAAAAGTAATAAAATAAATAAATTTCTGTTAGCTTGAAAATAACCAAATTTCACTTTTTACTAACAATGGATACATAGCTTATCAATTGATCAAAAATATTTTTAAATGTTAAATTTAACTTAAAATCTTATGCCAAATATACAAGATGATCCAGAAGCCAATTAACTGACATTTTTAGGAACAATTAAAGCAAGTTTGGAATAATTTCATGTAATTTCATTGTAATTTCATTCCAATAAATTTGTAATTTCATTCCAATAAAATATCTAAACAACTATTCCAAACTGATTTTATGTATACTTAAAATAATCTCAATATAAACCTTGGTTAAGTAATTTGGTGACTGTTTTGTCAAACCTGTTGCAAAAAATAAAAGATTTAGATTTTTGCAATGTTTAACCCATTTTATTTTAAATTTTAGCAACTGACTACTAATGAATGTCAATTTTTTACATAAAATTGAATTTCCTTCTTTAATTTTATAACAAAGAGAGAATGTATGAAATAAAAACACACACAAAAATTATTGTCATTAGTTTCTTTCAATCTTTAAGATTTAAAAATAAATTACAAAATATCATTTTATGTATTTAAAAGCTTTTAATAATCAAAGCTTACTTTTGTTTCAGATCTTGTTTGGAAGATTTTATCTTATTACTTGAATTGACTTTATTATGCATGATTATCGAATCGATTCCATTATTCAAGTCATTCTTGCAGTTGTTATTGAGCTTGCCATTTGGCTTTTTCTTCCAATTTCTTTTAAAATTAAAAATAAATATTTTAATTAAAAAATTGATAATTTTTCTAAACTCTGTTAGTAAATAACGAGAAATGAAGATAACTAAATATAATTTTTTTTAAATTACTTGATAATGTGATTTGGTTTTAATTCTCCACTACTACTGAGAATATCTCCGCTATTACTGAAAGTTAGTTCACCATTCAGAGTTGACAAATCTCCACTGGAAGTGCTTATTCCGTTTACGACTAGATCGTCCTCTGTTGCCTCTAGTTCCGCCAAACTTTCACTACTGACGCTACCGGTTTCGCTAATGTCAGATGTAATGTGGTCGCTCGGCAAAACTTTATCGTCGTCAGAATCTGTAACATAATAAAAATATACATTATAACAAACAAAATTAGCACATCAATGCAATTACAGTAACAATGAAATTGTATTGCTAATGTGAGATCCAACCTCTGAGTAAGGCCAAAATTGTTCATTTTCCCTCTAAATTTTCGACGTATATGAAATAAATTTGTCGCCTCCTCGTTAAAATAACATTGTCGGAAACAAGAATCAAATATCGATAGAAACTTATAACTTTCATCGTTAATATAAACATTCAATCCTTGAACAATGACATTCCTCTGCTGCAAGACAAAGTTTATAGTTAAAGTCTGAATTCGTCATTTTGTTTTGGTCCCGGGAACAACTTTAACCTCCACACCTGCAGGACCAACTCTCCCTCTCCCAATAGGGGATCACCTGACTAATTTCCCCAGCCCGAAGCTATAAAAGTGACTTCTTTCCCCCTCCATGGGGGAGTCTCTCATCTACAGCTGGTCAAAAAAAATTAAGTCTCGAAGGATTTTAACTTTGTGCGTCGATCAGAAGAATAAGGGCATCAACCTAATGTCTACGTTAGAAATATACTAGAGGTATGGAACATAAAATGTAAACTCTCTCTCTGCGAGTTAGGATCTAGCGAACTAAATTCATTTCTCCAGATGTTAGATTTTGTAATCGTTATTTTTTCATTAATCTAATAAATCGTTGTTTCCATTGTTAAATGGTGTCATTTACTCGCATATTGCCTACGCCTCGTTGACGACCCCTCTCACCTACTCCACTCGACCTGACAAAAAGAATCCCGATCCTTCGGGACCACATTCAAAATCTAGCCATCTTGACAAGTGAGCAGGTTTAATGACCTGTAGCTGAAAAGGGAGAGTTGACAGTTCCCAACCTCCCCGGCAGTTCACACTAATAAATGATACAAGGTTTGTTTCATTTATCTCAAAATATTTTATTTGATTATAGTTAATATCAAATACTAGTAAACAGTAAAAAATATAAGATAGAACAGATAGTGATATAAATAAAAGTTTGATATCAAACAAAATCATGTATTGTGTACTTATTTACTTTGAAAGAATACTTACACATTATAATTTCACATTTTTCATATTTGATAATAAATTTTTAAATTGCAAATATAATTAACAGAAGTTTTTCATCCTTTTAAATTTGTATTTTAAAGGCTTAACACTTAAAATACAAATTTTACACAATTAATGGACCAGAATCTGTCCAGTGCCAGAGGAACTTTTAATCAATTCACATATATACTTTTTCCATCTATATATATATATAGATGGAAAAAACTTTCCCACAGATCAGCTACAGAAATACATTAGTACTAATTACAGCCATAAATACAATTAGTAGACTAATTGTATTTGTGAATGAACATTTGTAAGCAGTAAGCAGCTTTCAGGACCCGACTCAATTTCTTTAAAAAATTATCTAGATATAGATATGAATAATAAAAATATTAGTAATGAGTGGTGAGATGAAGCCACTGAGAAGGTGAGGCTGCAGTCACAACTTCATATACTCACATATTAACATGGCCCTATTTGTAAGAAGAATTCAAAAACATTTCTTTTGTAACAAAAAATTAAGACTATACAAAATAAATTTTGAGTCCTTTTTGCCTATTAATATCCTTTTATTCCAATCCAGGAACCACAAAAACAGCCGACAATGCAAAGCAACACTTCCACAAATAACTGATGAACACAATCAAAAAACTTACAAAATTAAAAATGATCCCAACGTTGACCCTTTTCTGTAGACTATGACATTTACACATTAAAAAAATTGTTAAAATTCTTTGTATAGTCTTAATTTTTCATTAATCAAATTAGTCAAAATAATCCTTGGCTTCTATGTACAATTATTTCTTTTGTAATTAAATTAGTCCTCAATTTGTGAAATTTTTACTATCACAAGTTCTTGCATATTCAATTATTTAGTAAAGTCATGATTTCCAATTGTATCTAATTTTAATTCAATTAAATAAAGATTAATTAATTGAATGAGTTTTTATTCATCTTTGTCTTCATCATGTTCATTAAACTGTTCATTTATATAATATATAATGTATTTTATATCTAGGTAATTTTCAAAAAATATAACTTTTAAAGAGATGAAATTCTAAACTTATATTTCATTGTTATCCATATTAAGATTAATTTATTAATTAAAAGTAATAAACATTCTATAAAAAATAATGTACAGGGGTTATTATAATTAAAGTTCCACATTGAAATGGCCATAAAATGAAGACTACTGGACAGAATGTTATCAAACTTGGTAATAGTGTACAGGACTTCATGGGATTTTATATCCCGTGGAAAAAAAAGTTCAAAAACTCACCACCTATGGGAAATGGCACTGTCTGCATTATTGTTAAATGAAATAAGACATGAAGACAATGGAATATGAAATAAGACATGAAGTCAATGTCGAAGACATCATCGAAAATGTTTTTAATCAGTTTTAAAATGCGTTACAGAGCATGTTCAATGTGGCGTCCACCATTTTTGATAAGCAAGTTAAATCGCATTACTGTGTTCTCGACAGTAGCTCTTAACATATCAGGAGGAATTTAACTTGCTTATCAAAAATGGTGGACGCCACATTGAACATGCTCTGTAACGCATTTTAAAACTGATTAAAAACATTTTCGATGATGTCTTCATGTCTTATTTCATTTAACAATATTGCAGACAGTGCCATTTCCCATAGGTGGTGAGTTTTTGAACTTTTATTTCCACAAGAAATAAAATCCCATGAAGTCCTGTACACTATTACCAAGTTTGATAACATTCTGTCCAGTAGTTTTCATTTTATGGCCATTTCAATGTGAAACTTTAATTATAATAACCCTGTATATTATATATAAAAGATTTTGTCAAAGAAAAATATTTAATTTTTTGTTATGCTGGGTTCTACCACCAGGGTGCATTATGTACTTACAACACTGCCATGTGTTTTTATTCTTGTTCCCGTATTCACGCTGTACAGACTTGTAAAATAAAACCTCTCTTTGTCTTCCAATTTGGAGTGCCTTTTATCACATTTAACATAATTATGAAAAAAATTGTAATGTTTCTAGTACTTGATTGCTTGTTCTCTCATTTGGTTATATGTTCTTTGGAATTAAGTACAAATTATTACGGAATTATTTAATTTTTTTCATTTCAGTTTTACTAGTTTTACACTACACTTTTAATACTTAGTTATTCCAATAGTCACCATTAGCCATATTTTAGGTAATTTTTGAGTTATATGCATATGTAAAATAGGAATAACTATTAAATGTATTCTGTAATTTCTTATATAGTTTTACCATTATATAGAGGTCTGTTCAAAAAGTATCAAACTTTTATTTTTTTCGCGTAAACCAATGATGCGCGGGAGGCCTCTTTCGATGGAGTTGTGGAGGGGACAGTCATGCACAGCCCTGAATTTTTTCCCGCCTGCAGGAAACGTCAGTCGTTAGCAGTCAGCCTATGAGTGAGGACATGTAGCGAGCTCTCGTCGGATTCCACTAAGCTGGAAAATGACTGAACAATGTGAGCAGCGATATTACATCAAATTTTGCCAAAAACCTTGGCGATACCCGAGCGTAAACCATTCGCAAGATTCAGCAGGCTTTCGGGGACGATCCTCGAAGCAAAAAAAAGCGCGGCAGGCCCGCAGCAATATCAAGGTCATGTTGACAGTTTTTTCGACTCTCATGGGGTGGTGTATTGTGAGTACGCACCACAAGGCCAAACCATCGCAAAGGAATACTACCAGGAGGTCCTTCGTCGTCTTTCCGATGCTGTGCTACGCAAACAACAGGATCTGTGGTTGATCAAAACTTGGCAGCTCCATCGTGATAACACATTCGCCCATTCTGCGCATCTGATTCGGGCTTTCATCACCAAACACAACACTCCTCTGGTTCGTCACGCTCCGTACTCTCCCCACATGGCTCCGTGTGACTTTTGGCTATTTCTCAAGCTGAAAATGCCGCTAAAAGGAACCCGATTTTAGTCAAGAGAAGACATCGTGCGGAATGCGATGGACAGGCTATTGGCCATTCCAAAAGATGCGTTCCAGCAGTGTTTCCAGCAATAGCAGGAACGCTGGGAGAAGTGTATACACTACCAAGGAGACTACTTTGAAGGAGATTAGGGTTTTGTACCTCAAAATCAATAAATATATTTTGGCCAATAAAGATCAGATACTTTTTGAACAGACCTCGTATAATAAGGACTGAAGAGGGGCATTGGTTCAAAATGCATTTCTTTTCATAAAAAATAGAAAATAAAATTTACCTTTTCCATTGAAAAAAGCATTCTTGTATGATAAGTTCTCTGTAGCAATTGTGTGTGTAATATTTCTGCTTATTTTTTTAATTAAAAGGATTGATTTACAAATGAAGTTTCAAATAATAATGAAGCATTCTACAAAATGCAGGGATATAAATATGTGACTACCACTATTTAGTACCCCAAGTACTTAATCTATATGTACAAAGTCTTAGTTCATTGTATTGCATCATTACATAGCAATCAAATTCAAACTTATCCAAGCTTCTTCATTTCATACAAAGAATGAATCAGTGATTTAAGGTTGTGTACAATGAGAGAAGCAATAAATTTAGCGAAGTACTGTGAAACTGAACAAGTGTTCGAGATGTGCTCACAGTTATCTTTCTTGTATTGTAACAATGTAAGATCACACTGCAATAAGTTAACAGTAAAGACACCACTTACACAAAAAAAAAACCCAAAGTTACAGGTTATTCTGTACTCTCCTTATATGCCAAATCTCTCACTGTCAAACTTGATTATTCCTAAAATTAAATACAGGGTTAAAAGTTCAACATTTTTTATTGGATGCTGAAATTCAAGTTGCTGCATGGGAAGGAACTGAAGAAAAACCAGTTTTTTTTTTTACCATACACAGAATATAAAAATAAATTGAGTGTTTGAAAAAATGTCAATTATGTTAAAAAATGAATATGATATGATTAAAATAAATGATTTTTACTAGTTTTTGAAAATACAGTAGAGCGTCGATTATCCGAAAGTCAATTATCCAAAAGAATTCTAGTCGGCAAATTTAAATTTTCGCCAGTGCTGTGGCGCTGCAATCTTTGGCTATGTCTTGGGCTACTCAAATATTTTACGTTTTTGATACTAAATTAACTTCTGAAGTATAATTTTTTATTGTTTTTATATTTTTCAATATATTTATTTTGTTTGTACAAAATAAAAAAATAATTTTTAACAATACAATAGTCTTCGTTAGGCTTAACATCGACAAAAATTCAATGTGAAGCGACATGCAACGGAGAAAAATGTCAAGATGGGATAAATTAATATATTTTTTCATACATAATTGGTTATCTGAAACATCGATCTTCCGAACAACCCCAGTCCCCAATTGATTCGGATAATCGACGCTCTACTGTAGTCACATTATCCTTTTTCCCCCAAACTAATTTTATAGAAAATGGAACCCTTATTTATCAGTCAACCCTCATAATTACCATGTTTAATTCTTTAAACGCAAGATCGGTCAAAATTGCTTTGATCTGTTTGCGACAAAATTGGTTGAAGCAAAAGTTTTTTAACTGGTTTTGCTATATAAAATCCCCTCATAGCCTGAGGGATAAAACAATTATCTCTCCAGGTAAATTGAAAGAAGAAATTTTCAAAGTTTAGAGTTAAGTTCTATTTTGAATAAACAGTGTAATAGTTCTTTATGTGAATTTGTTAATAAACGGTATAAAATTAATTACTTCATATAATTATATATAAAGTATATATTTATTTAATTTCAATAAAGTTTTGACTTTCAATAAGTTATTCATACCTTCACTAAACTCAGAATCTTCTTGACTAGTACCGCTCATTTTCCTTCGACGACGAAGCATCCGTAAGCAGGTTACAGATTTGTTATTTTTTCTAGACAGTTTCTCTTTATATTTCTAAAGAACGACAATATAAAAAATTTAATTAGTAATGTAATAACTTTAATTACTGAACATCCCCTACTCATGGTTCCAAGTTACACTGTTTTATTTAAAAAGCAGCCAGTCTAACATTGCTTGAGTAAGCTATATTTTAAAACATTGAAAAGTTTATATTTAAACTAAAGCATAAAAAAAATTTACAATAAAATCTAAGAAACAACTACAAATGAAATAAATTTCATTTACTATTTGCAAATGTATAAGCCAACATGTACAAAACCCTCATATTTGGGGTGCATAGTAAAGTCCTTAAGCACTGATGTATGTGAGCAATGCATTACATATGAAGCATAGTAATGAATGCAGCATGAAGACACAGAAAAATGAGAAATACACATTTTACTACTTGTGCATAATTATCATTTTACATTTTCACATACACATGGTGTCCTTTTGTACTAAATCAGTTATGATCTATAACTTTGTAACTGACTTTTTCTGTATTGTGCATTGTTTGAGATATGAACACTAACCTTTCAAATTTTACCACTAGGAGCTCTGCAAGTGGTCTTGTCTCTTAACCCATAGCAACTTTAATATATCCATAAATCATGTTCATAACTTCAAATCATTTGCATTCTTCAGTTACTTCAATATATAAGAACTTTACTATGTATTTCATACATTGTACAGTACATTCATGTTTTGCTTACAGAAAGTAATGAAATATAAAATGTTGAAAATAATACTACCACTGTGCTACCAAGCATATCTAACATTTAGCTTATCACTGATTAATAATGCTATCTCTATATTGGACAACAATTCAATGTATAATTTTATGAATACCAGAAATTTATGTAAGTAAAAATTTACTATGTTAAAACAAATATTAAACAATACACACCTTGGAAATATCATGATTATCTCCAGTCGATATTGTACTGCAATGTATTAAAGGAGGTTGCGGGGAAGTTGTAGGAGTTGCGTCAACAAGGTTTTGTTCACCTTTTAATATAAACATTGAATTTATTAGCCAATTACAAATAGTTTTTATAATAGTTAAAACAGATTTACCATTTTTTAAATCACATTCCTCTAAACTATTTTGCGTATCCTCAGAAAAAAAAAATTCTTGAATTCTCTTGACGCCATGTGAAACAATACTCGAAAAGAGAGCTAAAGTAAAAGCTACAGAAGCTGATATTGCAGATTTGTCTATGTAATAACAAGACAAATTAAAATAATAAATACATTGCACAACAGTTGAGGGAAAAAGTTTAAACTTACTTTTCTGCTGCAGTCTAGCCACGCACATGATACACATAACAGTCATTTTAAAAATAACATCATCAAATACGACAGTATTATTGCAGTCTGTGTGGTTTGAATCGACTAGTCCTTTCTCGTTAGCATACAAATATTCCAAACACTTGTCCAAATCTAAAAGTGCATCATGACACAATGCAGACGTTCTGAAAATAAAAAGATTTGCATCTTAATTCTTTAAAGAAATAATTTACAGATCATTATACATTTCCTTAAAAATATTCAATTTTATATGAAAACTAATTTACACATTTTTGTACATCATTAGGTACTTTTAGATGAATAATTACAATATTTTGTACATACTATTTTTTGTTGTCATATGACAACAGTTGATGTAAAATAAAGTATGAACTTCATTAAATGAAAGTATATTTGTTTACACAAAAATCTTTAATTTTTGTACTTGACTAATTTTGTACTAATTCCAGAAATTTTTATGTAAATAACAATTATTGGCATCTTCAGGCCTGCTATTGAGCTACTATCTTGTTATCAATGCTAGTGTAAAAGAGAGCAAAATAAATAACTTCTTTAAGAAAAACAATGATAAGTAATTTTATACGAGTATTATACTTTATTTAACAATAATTTTATTATTAGGCATATTTTGTTTAGAATTCAAAGTTTCATTGACATGTTCTCAATGAAAGATTAAGGCTTATTTTTAATAATTAGACAATTGTTTTTGTCACTTGTTTATCATTTGCATGCATTAAATTTTTATGCCACAATCTTTTTCACTATTGTGCTGTATTAGTATTAAAATTAATACGTTTATTTTAAGGTATTTATTTATCTTTGTTAGTTTCCTTTCAAGCATGATTGATCATCCAAAACCACCCTGCCTCAATTATTTAGGATAATCAATGATCTACCATAGAGTATTTATATTCCGAGGAATTCTAATGTTTTCCAAAAAAAAAAAATTTTACACCAATGTTTTAAACTCAAACTTATTTATACATTAAATAAAATTATTAAAATTCAAAAATTAAATATGTACAAGTGTCAATCGATAAATAATGTCTCCTTTTGTAGCATTCTGAAGTACAGAAACACGTGACAGTCACCATTTACTAGCAGTGAATGTTTTTGTCTTTATGAGTGAAGTCTTGGTTTGCTTTGTTGCATAACAGTTAAGTTAGATGTAAACTTGTCTCTCTCATTCTGAACAAAGTGGCAATTGGTGATTGAATTTTTAGTGTCAGAAGAGTGAATGCCCATTAAAATTCACAGATGGTCTGTGTGACATTTTGTGAAACTTTACAAGTACTTGAAAAATGAATCTGTAAAGTGAGGCCAAAACAATCTCTCTCTCACATCTTGATAAATAACACAAGACTACTCAACTAAGGAAACTACATAGATAGTTAATAATATGAAGTCAAAGATTATTCTGAACTTTTCTTACTGCAAGGTTTGGGACACTGTCCAAACACTCACCAAAACCACTCCTTTAATACTGTGAAATAATTTTTATTGATTTGTTTTCCTTCAAACATTATGAATAGTTTTGGATTTTGAAGCAATAACTGTAAGGAAGAGGTATGTAATGTTTCAGAATTCAAGATTATGGGGTCCAAGATCAATGCCATCAAATTAATTGGCAACATCAAACTTTTCTTGCAATTGAGACAGTCTAATTTCACCTAGAAACAAGTGCGAAACTAATAAGTCCTAAGAGATAATATCTGAGACTAACAAAAGTGTTCGACTGAGAGACCAACTCTATAAAATCCCACATCTCCAAAACATGGGGACAGTATGAACAGTTTACACCTTTTTGTTTAACAGCAAGAAGTGCTGACAAGTGTTCCCTTTCTTGATTCTTCACCAACCTCATTAATGACATCAAGACACCCTATAGCTAGGTCTAATTTCCTTAGAGTGTATCTTCCTTGCAGATAGAACATCTGAAAACCTAACCAACTTTCTGTTAATTGCCTAGTCTCTAGAACTTTCTCTGAAGAACAACAATTTCTTAACAGACTGGACACCTGAATTTTAAAGTTACAAGAATTATTGTAATCATATGTCTTGTACCCATTGAGAATCTCTCACTTTGTAACCAGTCTTTTTATGTCAAAACCCCACATCCCCTTCAAACCATCATCCTTCAACCAATAAACCTCACATATTCACTTTCCTAACCTTTTGGTTGTGATGTTCATCTACAGCCTCTTTGAGTTAAAATTTAAAGCAAACTCCTTTGGTTTTTGACAATGGCTGTAATGGGAAATCACACAACCTCACACTTACAGTCCAGATCCAACACTATCAGACTTTCAACTGTTCCCAAATTAAAAGAAGGGTTGACACATTTCATTAGATGCCAAAGTTCAACATTTTTATGAGAATAGATGGGGAAAAACCAGAAAATTTTTCATGCACAAAACACAAAAATGGATCAAATGTTCAAAAATGTGTTGTGCCACATAGTGATTAATTGAAAATGTTGAATGTGAAAGTAGACCTTAAATGTAAATTAAACAATTAAATTAGTATACAAGGGAAAGTATAATTGAATATAATTACTAATACTGCATTCTAATAAACAGTACACTGTCTGCAACTTTTTCAGCTTGCAATTGCACTGTTGATTAGATGACAGCATTCTTTCCATTCTTTGGAAATTGGGTGCAACTATTATTTGAAGGTGACTATTAACAAATAAATTTGGTAATTTTTTCACTTTATTATTATTATTCAAACACAACACTTGACATGCTTACACCTTATTTCATCATAATGTAAGAGTGACAATGCTGACTAAAATGTGCAATTTTTCAATTTACAATAAACATTATCTACCTTTATTAGACAGTGCACTTACTAGTAGAGGATACTATAGCATTTTTCATCTTGCACAGTTTATTAGAATAAATACAGTAATAATATCCTTTGTATAACACGACAGTTATGTTCTGAAAAAGTGTCGTTATTCAAATCTGTGCTACAAGAAAAACGGCTAATGCAAAACATGGGGTTAGATTCCAAAAGTATACTAGTCATTTTTATTACTAAGAGAAATAGGTTTATTAATTAAAACAGTTGATAATTTATTTCCAATCAACACTTAACTAAAATTAACACTTAACTAAAAACACTTAAGTTAAAATTACTGCATTATGTGTTAATATTAATTTTAGTTAAACACAGGTGCATTCTTTTTACAAAGAATTGCCATCTTATCAGCTTTTTTGCTGATCTTGATAAAAAATATCAGCAATGTCTTCAATTTTTTATTTTTACCATAAAAGTTTTTTTTATGTAAAACAAAATAAATTTGTTGTTAACTGATAATTTGTTATAGTGGGTTGCATTTGTCAAATCAAGGACAGTGATTTTTTCCCCCAGAATTTGTGTTTGAATACTGAATTGTTCAAGTTGGGAACAGATCAAGTACCGAGATACCACTGCATTTCATTAGTCACATTTACGAATGATTTTACTTACCTAAGAACTTTTAAATAAACTTTAATAAATACAAAGATTAATTTATAAAAATAAAACATACACAGTCTTAAAAACTAAAATCAAGCAATGACAACACCTGATTGACAAGAAAGAAAAGAAGAAGAAATTTTTAAAAGGACAAGGGAGAAAAATTGCACCACCAGATTTCATTAAAGTAAACACAATGAAAAGCACAAAACAAATTGAAAATTTCAATATTCTAAAATCCATGAGCAAATTTGAGACAGCATACATGCTTACTTGAATAAATAAAATATCAAATAAAGGAGTTTGCACTTAAAAGTTACAAAATTTTGTATGAAGGATTTCCCAAATTCTCAAACCATGTTATAGAAAAACTGTGTTGTATGAGAGATACAGGTACATACCTTTCTCACAAAATTTATTTACATTTGACTAGAAATAATAATAATAATAATAAAGATCTAAGCAGTTAATTAATTAAAGTTACAAGCCAAAAAATTAGAAATTCAAATTACAATATATAATCAGATTTAAAAAATATTTTTAAGGATGTATAAGTGAACGTAATGAATTTTGAGTTTTCTTAAAATCAAGTAAGATATGACTAAATATTTTAATCAAAAGATACATCGTTACTTGTAAATTTTTAAATATTAAATTTCCTTCTTTTGATGAATACATTGTCCCATAAAAAATTATTTATTTACATTTTGTAGTAAACAAGAGTTAATATTTAGAATAAGAAGATTAACAGAGGAAAATTTTGTTTCTGAGCTATTATGTAAACAAACAAAATAAACAGAGAAAGAAAAGATAAATATTTATTCTTTACATAGCAGATCAATGAGAATTCTATAGACATTCGTTTAATATAATGTATTTATTTAAGATTTTTTACGCTGTATTGATTTCCACATATCAAGTTAATTAGGAAATTTATTACTTAATTGAAATAAGAAATCTAAATACTAAAAATTTCAGGTTAATTATTATTATACAAAAATGAGAAAAAAATTTATCATCTGAATTAAAAATTGATCGTTAGCTCTTGTGGATTAAAATTGTGTGTGTGTGTTTTTTTTAATATCAAAATCATTTAAGTAAAAATTTAATTAAAATTTAATGCAAGTGGTATTCCCTATTATACGACTGCAATATTTTTGAAGATTTAGGAATTTCTTTAGAATCAAATAACAGTTTTTGTATCTAAGTAAATTGCCTTACAAACTGTAATATTTTGTTTATTCATCAGCATTTGATTATACTTAACTCAATATTACAAACATGAAAATCATTATCTAAAACAAAGTTACAAAATATAATGAAATATGTAAATTTATTACAAATGAATGTGATACCTAACAATTAAACATTCAGAAAGAAAATAGTGTCACAGAAATTACTAGATACAAAATGAATAAATATATAATAATATAAATGCATAAAAAAAATAATAAATTTACGGATATTCTTCCTTAAAATTTAAAGAAAGGATAAATTAATCTGCATTAAAAAAGGTCTACTAGGAATTTTTTAAAATTAAAGTTGAATTTATCAATAACTGTCTTGATCAGTCATTCACAATAACTTTATTCACTTGCATTAATACATAATATTGGATACATGCATTATTGAATGCAACACAATATATAAATAATATACATAATTGTGTATAGAGTATGATAAGAACTTATTTGTCTAAATAATTTTCTGCATAAGAAGTAAAAATTATTTACAATAAGGAGTGAAATTAACTTTTTCAAAATCAAACAACAATGTATTTATAGTTTTTTTTTTTGTTTTCAAATATTTCAAAATAGAACATTTGTTCTAAATATATTTAAATGTTTTTAAAAGCAAAAATTCCCAGAGTAAATTTCACCTAAATAAAAAGCACTAACAAAGCACAAAGAATCACACAAAACTTATGACTTGTCCTTACATTTTCTGCTAAATTTTACAATAATTCATATTAGGTTCCAATATTTATAAAGAAGTTTTTATTTAGCAAGTTCTTAACTTTTTAAAAAATTTGCTTACCCTTATACTAATTTCAGTTCCCCCCCTTTTAATGTAAAAAATGCATTGGTTAAAAACTTTTTCTAATGCTTAAAAGGTAGTTTAAAAACAATTTTTAAAAAATCATTTATCTACAAACATTTTCTTATTTGGCTGTCTTATTTCAAAACAATTAACCAATGCTTTTGCATGCTGATTTAATTGACAAATTTCATACATAAAATTTTATAACAGCCACCACACACATTCATTTAATATGTATATGCATGATAAGTTAATATCTAAACATGTATACTTATATACAGTAATAGTAACAAGTATGCAATAAAATTGCCAAAAATTTTTTAAAATGAATAAAACTGATTACTATTTATCCAGGAAACATAGCACTATTATAACAAAACAAATTGCTGAAGTTTAGGTTACTAAAGATACTTAATTAGAAACATTTCTAAATTTGAATAAAACTGTTTTTCTGTTCTGTTAGCTGATACAGATACAAAGAACAGTTACTCATAGATTCAGCCATTCTGTGACAAGAACACAACACAGATACCCAGTAACAAATGGCATGATGTAAATCAAGATCAGAAATGTTTCTAATTAAATATCTAAGCTTTAGCAGTTAGCTTGTTTTGTTATCATGATCAATCAAATCCCAGCATTTTGAAGTCATTTCTTTTTAAATTTTAATTTTGAAAAATATAATGAACATACCTGTGGTTTGATTACTTAGATTTTAGGCCAATCAAGTTTAAGAGTTTGTATATTGTCCTTTAGAACATTATATAGCTTTTGTATATTGTTTTGATATTCATATCTAATACATTATACTAACTATAAAAACATTAGGGGTAATTCAAACTTGAATACATCAAGATGAAATGAAATAGCTTTAATGCACCTCTACATCTACATAAATTATAGTTAATTTTGGAAATATTTTATTAACAAATGTTAGTTTATCAAGTTTATTCAGTAATTGTGTGAAGTTATTATTCATGCTCTATAGGAAATGTACAAATTATTATAAAAAATGAATAAATAATATGGAAGTTTTGTTAATTAAATATTTAGCAATTATACTTACTCGTCATTGTGGAATAAAAAGAACTGCTCACATAATACCAAAAAAGTACATAAAAATCGTTTCACTTTAAAAGAACTGAAAGACATGTATATTTAATGAATTACTTTGCATAAAATAATAACAATTATATAACCTTTTCTTTATAAAATATTACCTTTCATTATTTTGATCTTTAGTAATAATTTCTTTGTACATTTGATTATTTTTGTCAAAAACACGCTGCAGATTTCCTTCGGCACCGTCAAACGAATGAGTGCAAAGTATACTGGATTCAAAATTTCAAATCAACAACTATTTTATGTAGAAAAACAAACAAACAAAGAAAAAAAAATTCTTCTTCTTACCATCGCATATAATGATACGTAGCATCTAATCCACAATTGGCCATTCCAGCAAGCGTGCCTAACTGATTATGTGGCATTCCCAGGGTCGGATCAAAACAAAGAGCTTGATAATAGTATCGTTTTGCAGTATGAACGCTGCTATTTTGTCCCATGTCAGACATGTAACGAGCTGTATAAAGATATTTGTCACAAATATTAAAAATAAATAACTTCTTTTATTTAAAAATAAGTGCATAATTAAATTTTATAATATAAAACTACAATCAAACTGATAAATAAAGATATAAAAATTAATGTATGTATCATTTATTATTTTGTATTTATATCAGAAATTATAATAAATTTAACTTAAATTTAAAAATAATGCAGACCATATTGTATTAAAAAAAATTCAGATTTGATCAAAGGCAAATGTGGCTTAATTTATAGATATAATGAAAACGTTTTAATACAGAATGATTCTTGTTAATTATATGAATTAATTTTTGTCACTTCATGAGCACTTTCATTAAGACCATTCTGAAAAGTTCATAAAAGTTATTATACCAAAAAATCATTAGAACTGTAAAAACATTAATAAAAATATGAAATTTATAATTATAAAGCTGAATATAAAACCCAAATTTGAAGCTATAATTTAGTCATGCTTCATTTAAGAGCTAAGTCAGTTTTCAACAAGATATATAATAATAATGTTTATATTTTCTGGAATATAAATTAGCTAAACAATCACTTTAACTTTCAATTTTAACTTAATAATTTTTAATTATAATAATGAATTAGGTTAATAAAACCATCTCTGTATACCATATTTCAGAATTGTAATAATAATATGTAATTTTCATAATTACAGTTAACTTTTAAAAATTATTTTCAGGCAAATAAAAGTGAAAATTGAAATGCAAAATATTACGACAATGTAGATACATGTATTTTCATATTTTATTAACATGTAATGAATACATTTATGTTATGAAAATAATCTTAAAAATTTCTCTATAACTATTATTATAACTGTTTATTAATACCTAAATCACCAAGGTAGACAAGAAATCGGTGACAAGCATGATGTACCCATTCATTTATGTTTTCTTCTAGTTCTGTTGATTGCTGATATTTTTTCCAACGATCTACAAATGAAAAATAAACACATTTCATTCATAAGTTTTACTATTCTTAAATTATTCATGAGTCAAGCTTTATGTAAGAAGTTAATTTCACATGTGATTTAATTATGTACAACAGATACTTATGTAATATCATGCTATCTGTTTAACTTATAATTAGAATGAAAAATATATATCATTTAAAGCTCTAAATATATTTCATTAGAATCATATGATGAACCCGCAACACTTATTTAAATTACACATTACAATTCTATTTTATGAATTCTTAATGTTAAAACCTGTTCCCTAATAACAGTCTGCTATATTCTTTCTGTATAATTAAACAAAAGCAATCAAATAACCAATATGAAGCTATCAATTACAGGAATAAAAATTTTGATTGAGAAAAAAATGAGCTTTAAAAGTAAGGATAATAACAACATGGTTTTAAATTCCTTATCTACACATATATATATTATTTAGATTTTTTTATATACAAGTTAAATAATTACAAAAATAAAATAAATATATTTAAATTATCATATCCTTATTATTTCTAAAATACTTTTATTGTTTTTATCATCTTGATCTTAAACAACTCAAATTATTCTTGTTATATTGAAGACTGGAAAAATAAGTTTGGATTTTTTAATACAGGACAATCAAATAAAAATCTCTCTCAAGAAGAATAGACTTAATGACACCATAAAAAATTTTAAACATTCCTCATCAAGTTCTAGTAAATAAATGTTCAATATTTCAGTTTTTCTAGCAATTAGTAGTAGGACAGTAACAACAATGACTGCCTTATGATGATGTTGGTTCTACTTCTAGCAAGTAAGACTTTCATTTGGTTGCTTGATAGAACTAAAATAAAAAAGTTAAATTTGATGACTTCAAATATAATAAAAAGGATTCCTTTGTAATGAAAAATCACATGTTGATTTGTAACTTCTTGTATTTAATTCTTATGAGAAATCTAACAAGTTTGAAAATCACAAAAATATTTGATATACAAAACACATTATGATAAAAAGTTGTTTGCTTAAAAAAAACCATTAACTTTTTTGTCTTTTCTGGAAAACATACCTTTTTTAATTCCCTGTTGATGCCATATGAATGGTATTTCAATTTTACCTTCTAAATTTAAATGAAATTCCGTTTGCAATCGCAACAAAAGATGATGATAATTTCCAATACCGGATAATAAATGAATCTGTAAACTATAATCTGCATCGGGTCCTTGGGTTTTCTGTAACAGAAAAAAGTAAATACAATAAACGAGAAATACAAGAAACAATAAAATGAATAAAGATTAACAACAATAATAAAGGAAAAAAAAAATTCAAAAATAAATTATAAATCAAAATATGAGCAAACAATAACCTAATTCATTCAATTTGTAGAGATTTATTAAGTTTTAATAATTCTACTCCATTTAATTGAATTTAAACAAGTTTCCTTTCTAAGAATGCTAAATTTTAAAATTAAAATAATTTAAGCATAAACAATTGAATAGACATGAAGAATTTTTTGTATTAAATGCAAACTTATGCACTTTTAATGTACATTAAGAGAAGTTTCAAATCTGTTTGTATTATATATTAATGTTATCTTAAATAAGATTANGTAGAGGTGTAATAAATGGCTTGAAATCTATACTTAAACACATTATTGATGATCCATGAAGTTTGATCCTGTTGAAGAAGTTTACTTAAAATGCCTTTATATATTGTCTGTTCATTAATACAGAATTTTTGTTGTGTCACATCTACAGAAAAGCAATATTTAAAATAAACAATGATTTAGTATTATAACAGAATTTGACTTACTCAAACTGAAGTATTGATCATAAAAGTAAGAATACAGAAGTCAAATACTAACTTTGATGATAAATTTCTATAACATAAATATTACAAAGATAATATTTTACCTTTTTTTGTTGTTTAAAACTTTGGATGAAATCATAATAAACTTTTCTCCACATCAGTTCTTCTGCTTTGCGTCCATATTCCGCAGGATCGGTAAACATGAGACGTTCGCAATAATCTTTGAGCCTGATGTAAAAAAAATCAAAATTAACTTTTTTAATATCAAAATACTGTAATTATTATCAATTTTCTATATATAGATTATTAATATAGCTAATAAACTGCATACATTCATTATAGATTACTGAATAATTCATTATCTGATCCTAGTTGTAAATTAATGCATCAAAGTCAAGTATATGGTAAGTATTGCAACTTTTACAGAAATGGGATTGTTTAAAGAAATTTTTCTTCAGTCAGCATATTTTTTGTGCATTCTACCTATAACAAATTTGGAGGAAATGCAAATAAGTGGTAATGGTTGAATGATTTAAATATCTTATATTACCACAATATAAGGAAATTCATCTTTGCAACTCCCTACTATTGTAATTTATAAAAATTTCTAATCACAGTTGTATGAAACATTGCCATTTAAGAACCTTTTCAGCAGGATACTCTATAAAACAAACTTTGAACTATATAAAATTAAAGTTCAATTTATATGTAGATTGAGGAAATTTTTTTCATGAACCAATTAGATCATAATAGTGTAAATTTGCTTTATTGACTAAAGTTTGAGGCATGAGCACATATTTATTTACTTATGCACATACACAAATAAATAACTCATTAACAACAAAATATAAATGGTCAATATAGTTAAAACTACTTTAAACATAGTCTAAAAATGTAATTCTTAGATATGCTCAATGTAGCAAAATTCAATTAAATGTTTAATGATAGCCACCAACTGTTATATAAAGTGATTCTCTGATCTGGCAAGAATACTGAACATTGTTTTATTAATACTCAACTTATACTCAAGCTTTGTTATACACATTTTATACCCAACTTTATTTTGAATTTTATACCCAACTTTAATTTGACAAGTTAGTCAAATTTTTATGAAATAAAAATTTGACTAACTTGTCATCAAAATAAAAATAGAAATAAATCAATCATACTAAATCTGTTAGTTTCCTGTATTTTTAGATATGTAATTAGTACTGTATCTTGCAGCAAGCCTTTACTCTTTATTTACTATGAAATATAATTGTATTCTGTTTTGCAACTGTTTTTATGAAGCAATATTTATAGTATAAGTGAAAGAAAATAGCTCCTGGCTGATATATATCATAGTAAATTTGTTATTCTGATTATTTTATATTCTGCTGAGATTTAATTTATAAAATTTCTTCATCACTATCAACTTGTTAATGTAAACACAATGACAAATATGAAAGCTTATTATGACTTGTTTATTGTTAAACAAGATCTTTTCATATTTAAGTTGAAAGTAATTCTCTTATAATGGCAATAATCTCTTTTGAAAATATTTTTGGATAATTAATAGATTAATTTATATCCTTTTTTCTGCTACTTTCATCTTAAAATCTAACAGAAAAGATAATCTCTTCTACTCTAAGCTCCTATCTATTTTCTTCACTCCAGTTTTTAAAATATAAAATTTTGTTTGATAATAAATGATATTTTCAATAGAGAAAGATGCACATGTGAACGAACAAAATACAGGCCACTTGCAAGTGATATACTAAGTGAGCTGCAAATATTGTAAATGCTGATATGTAACAACAAGATNATGAATTTTGTCTAAGTATACATTCTTCTCTAATTATGTATAATATCTATTATATGCTTTCTTTTCATTTTATTTTTAAAGCCAGTGACAAAAGTGTATAAACCTTCAATACAAATTATTACAATTTTCAATTTTGTAAACTTAAATTTTACAATATTTTGCAATTAGAAATTTTATTTTAGTGATCAGATAAGTTAAATGCAGAATTTGAACATTTTTACCCAGTAACGTATATGTCAACTATGCGTGCCAATGTCAAGAACTTACGACATAATGATTTACCTCAAACGCACCTTTGTTGCAAACTCTTGACTTAACTATTTAGCAATGGTATCTTGTCTTGTTTTTGCATTGCTTGCAGTTGTATTTATATACTAAAAAGTTCTATTTCTGGCTTTTATCCAATTAACATTTCAATTAGTACAATAGTTTGATTTGTAAGAAATGATTTAATTTATATTTGTAGAATGATAGGATTCACTTCCAATAAATTCAATTTATATTCATTATTCATAAATTTGAGACAAAGATATGCATATTATAACTAGTTCAAACAGATCAGTTAAGGATGGCATCACAAGTATTTAAATTAATGATAATGTAACTTATAAATAAAAGTAGTTATCTTATAATAAAATTAATATAAATATGAATAACTTTTATATACTTTTAAAAGAAGTTATATAGTTTAGGAAGGAAAAAGCTTACTGTTTAACTGTCTCTGTGGTACAAGAATATATTAAGATTCTAAATTATTTTAGCGAATGTATTTAAATTGTTTATATCTAAGTATATTTCTGTGCTGGACTTTTATTGTTATACAGTTTTATAAGATAGTGAAACCAGACAGAAATTTTCAAAAACAATTTTACACAGTTGAAAACAGAGAAAAGTCTGTAAAGAAAAATCTACTCTGCTATTGTGTTTTTGTTGTATGAGACAACTCATTAAGATAACTAAATAATTTTTGTTTGTCTTCAAATTGTGTAAAAATAATGCAGACCATATTGTATTAAAAAAAATTCAGATTTGATCAAAGGCAAATGTGGCTTAATTTATAGATATAATGAAAACGTTTTAATACAGAATGATTCTTGTTAATTATATGAATTAATTTTTGTCACTTCATGAGCACTTTCATTAAGACCATTCTGAAAAGTTCATAAAAGTTATTATACCAAAAAATCATTAGAACTGTAAAAACATTAATAAAAATATGAAATTTATAATTATAAAGCTGAATATAAAACCCAAATTTGAAGCTATAATTTAGTCATGCTTCATTTAAGAGCTAAGTCAGTTTTCAACAAGATATATAATAATAATGTTTATATTTTCTGGAATATAAATTAGCTAAACAATCACTTTAACTTTCAATTTTAACTTAATAATTTTTAATTATAATAATGAATTAGGTTAATAAAACCATCTCTGTATACCATATTTCAGAATTGTAATAATAATATGTAATTTTCATAATTACAGTTAACTTTTAAAAATTATTTTCAGGCAAATAAAAGTGAAAATTGAAATGCAAAATATTACGACAATGTAGATACATGTATTTTCATATTTTATTAACATGTAATGAATACATTTATGTTATGAAAATAATCTTAAAAATTTCTCTATAACTATTATTATAACTGTTTATTAATACCTAAATCACCAAGGTAGACAAGAAATCGGTGACAAGCATGATGTACCCATTCATTTATGTTTTCTTCTAGTTCTGTTGATTGCTGATATTTTTTCCAACGATCTACAAATGAAAAATAAACACATTTCATTCATAAGTTTTACTATTCTTAAATTATTCATGAGTCAAGCTTTATGTAAGAAGTTAATTTCACATGTGATTTAATTATGTACAACAGATACTTATGTAATATCATGCTATCTGTTTAACTTATAATTAGAATGAAAAATATATATCATTTAAAGCTCTAAATATATTTCATTAGAATCATATGATGAACCCGCAACACTTATTTAAATTACACATTACAATTCTATTTTATGAATTCTTAATGTTAAAACCTGTTCCCTAATAACAGTCTGCTATATTCTTTCTGTATAATTAAACAAAAGCAATCAAATAACCAATATGAAGCTATCAATTACAGGAATAAAAATTTTGATTGAGAAAAAAATGAGCTTTAAAAGTAAGGATAATAACAACATGGTTTTAAATTCCTTATCTACACATATATATATTATTTAGATTTTTTTATATACAAGTTAAATAATTACAAAAATAAAATAAATATATTTAAATTATCATATCCTTATTATTTCTAAAATACTTTTATTGTTTTTATCATCTTGATCTTAAACAACTCAAATTATTCTTGTTATATTGAAGACTGGAAAAATAAGTTTGGATTTTTTAATACAGGACANAAGAATATATATATTATTACATAAAATAATTTTTATAAAAACAACACTACAGGATTAGAATATTTTGTCAATTACGTCAGAATTCAGGTATTTTATTAGGCACTAATTAAACAAATTAAAATTTTTTCTATATTTCCAAGAAAAGGCATCAGTGCTTTCAACACTTTTCTTCTTATAAATATGATTGTAAAGCTATTTTTGTAATTAAAATACTTCAAAGTATCAGAGCTACAGGATTTTCTTTCTACAGGAGTTCTTATTTTATAATTATAAAGTTTTATATAAAATTCTGTAAGTAAGAATTTTTACAAGTTATTTCAGATAATTAAAAATTATTTTTGGCCAGTCCTTTAATGAAAGATATAAAGGTAGAGGTGTAATAAATGGCTTGAAATCTATACTTAAACACATTATTGATGATCCATGAAGTTTGATCCTGTTGAAGAAGTTTACTTAAAATGCCTTTATATATTGTCTGTTCATTAATACAGAATTTTTGTTGTGTCACATCTACAGAAAAGCAATATTTAAAATAAACAATGATTTAGTATTATAACAGAATTTGACTTACTCAAACTGAAGTATTGATCATAAAAGTAAGAATACAGAAGTCAAATACTAACTTTGATGATAAATTTCTATAACATAAATATTACAAAGATAATATTTTACCTTTTTTTGTTGTTTAAAACTTTGGATGAAATCATAATAAACTTTTCTCCACATCAGTTCTTCTGCTTTGCGTCCATATTCCGCAGGATCGGTAAACATGAGACGTTCGCAATAATCTTTGAGCCTGATGTAAAAAAAATCAAAATTAACTTTTTTAATATCAAAATACTGTAATTATTATCAATTTTCTATATATAGATTATTAATATAGCTAATAAACTGCATACATTCATTATAGATTACTGAATAATTCATTATCTGATCCTAGTTGTAAATTAATGCATCAAAGTCAAGTATATGGTAAGTATTGCAACTTTTACAGAAATGGGATTGTTTAAAGAAATTTTTCTTCAGTCAGCATATTTTTTGTGCATTCTACCTATAACAAATTTGGAGGAAATGCAAATAAGTGGTAATGGTTGAATGATTTAAATATCTTATATTACCACAATATAAGGAAATTCATCTTTGCAACTCCCTACTATTGTAATTTATAAAAATTTCTAATCACAGTTGTATGAAACATTGCCATTTAAGAACCTTTTCAGCAGGATACTCTATAAAACAAACTTTGAACTATATAAAATTAAAGTTCAATTTATATGTAGATTGAGGAAATTTTTTTCATGAACCAATTAGATCATAATAGTGTAAATTTGCTTTATTGACTAAAGTTTGAGGCATGAGCACATATTTATTTACTTATGCACATACACAAATAAATAACTCATTAACAACAAAATATAAATGGTCAATATAGTTAAAACTACTTTAAACATAGTCTAAAAATGTAATTCTTAGATATGCTCAATGTAGCAAAATTCAATTAAATGTTTAATGATAGCCACCAACTGTTATATAAAGTGATTCTCTGATCTGGCAAGAATACTGAACATTGTTTTATTAATACTCAACTTATACTCAAGCTTTGTTATACACATTTTATACCCAACTTTATTTTGAATTTTATACCCAACTTTAATTTGACAAGTTAGTCAAATTTTTATGAAATAAAAATTTGACTAACTTGTCATCAAAATAAAAATAGAAATAAATCAATCATACTAAATCTGTTAGTTTCCTGTATTTTTAGATATGTAATTAGTACTGTATAACAAAAAAATCTTTACTAGCTGCCAACAGTCTCATGATTTCATGATTAACTATAAATACAGTTAGTAATATAATAATTTAAACTTAATTTAAAATTCTCTTATGATTGCTTAAGAATATAGTGATGGGTATTAAGAATTTTCAAATTTCTGTAAAATAGTGCAGTTATTAATATTTATTATTGGATAAAATATAATTTAAGTACAGATATTAATTATTTGTTTTGTTACATTAATAACAAAACATAATATTAAGATTATAAAACTGTAGTGTCTGATACATTATTATAATAAATGCAGTTTATAATTGCATATGAAGATTTTATCTATTAAAATAATGAATAAATAACATGGTTTTTAACTTTAATTAATAATATAATGAAATATTGATTAATTGACCTTGGATTATCAATATATTTGTTTAACTTTCTAATTACTATGTTACGATAATTCATTTTATGCTGCATTAATTGCATAGATTTGTTTTTTTTTTTTTTAAATCCTATTATTGTGTTAATAATTTGTAATCTTTCAATAGACAGAAGTGTAATAATACATATAATGTCTAAAAGCAAACTAAAGTATGCAACACAATTTTATGCTATGAAAATTCAATTAAATAAATGAAAGATTTTTTAAACTATAACATGCATGCACTGTTATGTATTTTCATTATAAGTATTTAACATCATCAAAATTTATTGCGTAAGATATAAATATCTACATGCAATTTAGAAGCAATTCCTATAAGAAAAATAATCTGTGAAATTTTAATTGCATATCAAAGATAACTAGTAGTTTTTAAAATCTAAAAATTTAAAGCACAATTATAATCTAAATTTAAAATTCTTATCAATTCATTATGCACATGACGAAAATAACAAATTTTACTTTCAGAAATAAATTTCTACATTTGATGGGATGCTATCATTTGATTCTGAATCAGAGCATATTGTATTATCAAATAGATTTAGCCATTCGTTAATTTTAGTGCATGGCATATGAAGCTGCACTACCAGTATACAGTAGAGCGTCCTTTATCCGAATCAATTGGGGACTGGGGTTGTTCGGAAAATCGATATTTCAGATAACCGATTATGTACGAAAAAATATATTAACCTATCCCATGTTGAAATTTTTGTCCGTTGTCCCATGTCCGTTGTGTGTCGCTTTGCGTTGAATTTTCGTCCATGTTAAGCCTAACAAAGACTATTGTATCATTAAAAATTATTTTTTTATTTTGTACAAACAAAATAAATATATTGAAAAATATAAAAACAATAAAAAATTATACTTCAGAAGTTAGTTTAGTATCAAAAACGTAAAATATTTGAATAGCCCAAGACATAGCCAAAGATTGCAGCACCACAGCACTGGTGAAAATTTAAATTTGCTGACTGGAATTCTTTCGGATAAATGACGCTCGGATAACTGTATTTAGAAAAATGACAATGACTAACTACTTTCAATATATAACTAAAAAAAATTAAACATTAAGTGATTTGTGTACAAAAGAAAAGAAATGTAAAGTGATAAAGACTGAGGTGTATCTCATAAATTATAGGTCAAGGCAGTACAGAAATCTTTCCTGAGAGATTCCTTTTCAAAATTTAAACCTCTTCTGCAACAATTTCACTAAATTTAAAAGAGATTAATATTATAATCATGAGAAATGTAAATTTTAATAAATTTATATAAATAACAATTCAAGATGAAAAGTTATAAGTAATGAATATTGCTAAAGTTTGGAAAAATTATAAATTTTTCATATCATTAAATTATTCTGTAAATTGATTAATTAGTCAAAAGTTGTTTCGTTCTTATCATTGTGCCTAATACACAGTCTTAGAGGATTTGATGATGAATATTTTCTCGTTCACATAAAATCCATGGCTAATAATATCAAAACATTTAAAGAGCAGCATGTTACAATTAAAAAAAATCATCAATTTTAAAACAAAATAACAGGTAGAAAAAAATTGAGTTAAGCATGATCTTATCCAAATTCTTTTATACCAAATTAAAAAATTTTCCTAAGACAAAGTGGTAGTAGTGAAATGTTTAAGAGAGAACTAATATTTATATATAAAAATTGAACATGTTCCTAATTTTATTTTGAAGAATGCTTCAAAAAAAAAATTTGAGACAAAATGGGAAATATATTTCTAGTAAAATAATTTATAACTTAAGTAAAACTTTTATATCTGATTTAAAAATTATATAACTGGACTTTTCTTTTCTGCATATATCAACAAGTTGTTTATTAATATAAATTCTTTAGTTATTGCCTATGCAGACAATATGAAGTTGTTAAACCATGACCCCATTGCACTCCAATCTGATCTACACCTTTTATCCTCTTCCTTTAGAAAAGTTAACCTTAGAATTAGTGTACAAAAATTTGTAATAATGTTTTCTTCTTTATGCAGAAATCTGCCCCACCACTCCTTTTTATAAATAATCATGCATTGCAATAGGTCAACACATATAACAATCTTGGAATTATTTTTGCTATTAAATTAACTTTTAAAAGTCATATAGACAAAATAGTAAAACAATTGGCTATCCGTCTAGGAATATTATGCCATTTTTGTAAAACCATATCCTCTAAATCTGTTTTACAGTCAATCTTTTTTGCAAATTTTCAGTCCCTCAGACTATTGCTTTCCTGTTTGGTCCATAGGAGTCCCCTCTTTGCTTGCAAAAATATTGAAAAAACTTGATAAACTATCTACTTTTAAATAAACATAGTAAGTGGTCTTGCTCTAGCAGCATTTGGATTATTGGTTTGCAGTAGGCTACCTACCACAAACCAATAATCCAAATGTTGCTAGAGTAAAACTAGGACTTCAGGATTTCTTTGAGTGAATTAAATATTTTGATCATATTCTCTTTTTTAAATACTATAAAAGTCTAATTCCAAAACATTGGGTATATCTAAGAATCTTCAAAAGAAACACCCGTAATACCACATATATTCATACTCAATTTCATTTGTCATCGTCACACAGATCTTATTATTGTTTTATTATCAAATAGCAAATAATACAGGCCCAATGGAATGTCTTCCTCATGAAAAATTTCATTATAAGTCAACATTTTTCACATAATTTTGAAATTTATATTTATTTTTTACTTCTTTATTATTGTTATTATTATAACTTTTATTCACACATTTTTGCTATTTACAATTACTCTTATATTTGGCAGTATGATAAATAAAATGTTTTTTAATATATAATTTTTATATTTTTATTATTTTTCTGCTATATATGTATTCTATGTATAGTGTTATAGCATTTTTTTTCTTTTGTATTTTTAATCTTTTTTTGGGCTTGTTATGCACTGGGGGGGTGAAATCAATTGCTTGATGACATTTCCAAAGTTCAATGTAAAATAAATAAATAAAACATGATAATTTTACAGTAGTCAACAATAAATTAAGATTTACAGCAATGAGAGTTACAAATGCCCAACTGATGGTCAAGCTCATACATAAGAACAAGCAGCTATAGGTCCTGTAATTTTAAAAATTTGAATTAAATACAATGGTTTGCAATAACAAATGCATGCACTACTTTGTGACAACTGTAAACATTTCATGACTACCACAGTTCATTGACTCAAGTTCTGCTTGTCTCTGATCACCATGCTGTTATTGCCACATTGTGTTTAAGATGTTTTTGTGTATTGGGAAGTGGTTTGTAAGTATTTTCTATACAAGAAATTCTATACAAGAAAGTTAGAAGATCTACTATATACCAAGATGAACATTTAACTAACTGATGATTAATACCAATCATGTACTGTACACATGCTCTGCCTTACCTACAAAATTGAATTAAAGACAGACTTAATAATGAAACACGTTCATATCTCAGAGACTGCATGTATTCAATAAAAACTGACAAATAATTACAACAACATCAGTTTTATTAAATACCAGCAGATAAGCCCAGCATTGCCCAGGCAAAAAACAACAACAAAGATTAAGATTATTAGATTATTTCGTGCTTCTAATCCTTCTATTCTAGTAGCCTGGGATGCCACCTAGTGGGCGTTCTAGCAGCAATGGTGTCATTCCGTGGTATAAATAATAAATTCCTATTACAAATAAAAATAATAATATACTGAATTTCTCATGGTATACACTACTAAAATGCAGCCAAAAATGCAAAAAACTGCATCAAATAATAATATACTGAGTTTATTGTTAATTTAAATAATAGCTAGGGAACCCCTAGTGGCCATTTCTGGCATACAGTGACGGGGGAATCTGGTTTTTCAGCTTTATATAGTAGATTTATTAAATAATTATAAAATTGTAGCTTATTTTGTATAATCAAGTGTACATACAATAAATATTTTCAATTTCTGTTTACCTTATTCTTATAGTTGTTATATCAGAATTCAGCAAATCTTCTAGGGAGGAAACATTTTGCATGTGGTCTTCGAGGCGTCGAGCCGCTTCCACAGCACTTCTACAAAACAAAAAGTACATTTTAATAAGTTTTTTTTTAATAAATATACTCAATGGCAAACATACTTTTAATATTTTAACTACCAATTACAAGCTTTAGAGTGATTTATTTTTAAACATGCAATTTGAAGTTAAAAATAAGTTAACTATTTATATTTAAAAATAAAATTTAATTACTATCAAATATAGGATTGATACAATTTAAGATATAATTAGGAAGTAATGAGGAAATTGAAAAATAAATCACAACAAATTTAGCAAAATTTTAAGGAAAGAAAGGAAAAGATTAAAAGATTGTGTAAACAAATATTTCATGTTAATTAAATAAAAATACATTTTGGAATATAGAAAAAAATGTAAGAGAACTTATTTTCATATATTACATCAAACTTATGTAACTACTAAACATCTGTATATAATGAGACAGCAACTTTTTTATCATCATAAAGCAATTTACTTATGAGATAAATCAAAAATTCTCAACAATTTGCAAACTTTCATAATCTTTCAAATACTTTAAATGATATAAAACAGTTCAATAACAGTTCATAAAATGTTAAAGTTTTGATAGCAAATAAATTATTTAATGTATTAAAACAGTTAAAAAATTTTCACAACATATTTATAATAAATGAAAATATAAAATTAGCTCATTAAGAAATTATTCCTGCCTACAAATAAAATTTAGTTGTATAAACTTTTATATTTATGAAAAATTATTTCTTACATCATACATTTTGCTAACAAGCAATGAACGACAAATTCTAATGTATCAAAATAGTAAAATATTCAAAGCATAGGCTAAGCAACCTTACAAATTAGTTAATGAGCTTCAAGTAGTTTATTTAAATAGTGTTTTTTAAATGTAATTGGCCTAACTAAAGTTCTGAAAACGATCCTAATTAAAACAGTAAATATTTATCAATTTATACTGTAGAAGATATATTGTAAGATAAAAAAATTGATTATTTAACATATTTTACAATTCAAAGAGGTTAATCAATAAAAAAAAATGATAATAATTAATACTGGCTTTTGGTGTTAAAAACTCTTTATTAAAGAAAATATGTACACAAGTACTTTTGACAGTGCATTACAGTCATCATCAAGCAAAAAACTTTTAAAGTTTTTTGGTTGATGATGATAACGTCCCGTTGAAAGTACTTGTGTACATACTTTCTTTATTACAGAGTTTTTAATGGCAAAAAACAGTTCTTTTTTTATATTATTTATGTAATTTGACATCAATTTTTGGTAACTCAAAAAAGGTTTCAAAACAATCGTTAACGTATCATCTAAAAGTAACTACCAAAACTGTCGCTATAATAAATACAATTGTAACTTATACACAAAAGCAACTTTAATTTTAGAAGTTGGCATAAATACCAATTTGAACAGAATAATTAGAAACAATCTGCTGTAAATACATCAATAGAGAGCTTTCAAGGAATTTGTGGCATAACAAATTTGAAAATTCAAATTAGTCACACTTCCTGTAAAAATTCACTCAGTTAAACTACTAAATCTTTAGATACACTTTAATATAAATACTATAATTTTACAACATCTAAATGAATTAGCCCAGTTTCTTCTAATTACTTGACACTCGGCCTAACCTTCATGCATCGTAGCAAAGAAAAGATTCGGTCAATTAAATTATTAATAAGCTCATACACACATTCTAACTGTAAATAAAATAATTTTTACAAACAATTGCTCTATCTAATAACAGTTATGCGCTAGTTTTATATAGTATCGTCGACGATAACATTAAACATATCCATCCTAAGTGCAACAACATAAGCAGTTCTGTTAATGCCAATTGCATTCAAAATTAATATACATTCTTTAGTATGTTCGCCTGACACTACTTTCATTCTACAATAAATTCATAAAAGCCATTAAACTTTCTTCAAATTAATGACCCTTTCTTATAATTTCATCACAAATTCTTAAGTTAAAAAAAGAAAAGCCTTCCTCCCCTCTGTAAATTATTTACATGCATCTGAAAAACTTCCTATTTAAAATTTAATGACCATATAAAAAATATAATAAAAAAAAACAGGAATTTTACTTATCTAAAAGAGAGATAAGAGATAAAATTTGATAACAGACCATTAAAAAATTAATTTAATATTCTATTTTTTTTAACCGCAAAAACCATCATTAACGTCTCTGAATTTTAATAATGAAGTTATAATTATAATCTACGAGCATTAACAACATAATAAACCATATATTTACTCAAGATAATGTAAGAGTAATGACCTTAGAGTATAAAATAAATAAATTGCATTAAAGTAATTACTTTGAGACATTTACTCAAAACTAATCATTTGTGCAAGATTCTAGTACTAAATTAATCGCTTCTATAGAAAAACACATACTTAAATCATCTGTTTAAATATGTCTCGTTAGGTTTAAACAAATGAAATAATCTATTCAAAGTAGAAATTCTTTAAATGAATCTCATTTATATTCTTTTTTTAAAACCATTTCCTCCTGCCGTACTTTCAAAATAAGAATAATTCTATAAATAAATAACACAAACATACTAAAAATATATGCAAGTCAAGAAAAGAGATTTAAAATAGGATCTTTCTTTCTCTCCATCTCTAACACACAACTTGTCATCTACAGAAAATAATCGAGATGAAATAGGTTTTTGTTAGATATATCTGTAGCAATCTTCTAACTATAAATATATAATATGTAGGAATATATAAATATAACTAATTCCTTACTAACTTAGCCAAATATTTTACACTATTTGATCATATTCCAGTAAATAAACTGTTAAGTAATCTTATAAACTTTAATACTATACCTATAAATAGTTCATTAATATCCTATTAGAATTTCAATGTACAAAATAATATTTTAAATTGCTTATAAAATCTAAAACTAGACAATTTAACATGATTTTTGCATACATTTTTGAAGTTTGACTATATAAACACAAAATTATTGTTACAGGTATACCTCACCTTACATCGGTATTTGGTTTAGCCTAGTGACAAGTAAATTCGACATCGAATTTACTTGTCTCCAAATTTTCTTGTCACTAAGCTAAACCACAAATAACCATCCCAGTTCTGTATTTTATTTATAAATGCATTTTTAATAATATATGGTTAATAAGAAACTATTTTAAGCTTACAAACAAACAAATTTTAGTTTTTAATATAGTACAGAAAAAAAAGTAATCTAAATTTACGAATACATAACTACATGTACATACATACTTGTAAATGAACATGTTTACAATTTGGCGATGTTTATAGTACATTGCAGACTATTTGTGAATGTGGTTTGCTCTAAGACGTTATAAAACAAGATGATTTTGTAAGATTAAATAACAAATAGTTATTAAAATTATTTTGTGATAGTAGAAAATAAACTAATTTATGTTAAATTTACCAATATCAAGTGGTGTTGACAATAATGCCAAACGGTAGATATTGGAACTACTGTGGAAAATGCCAATATTGAGCTCTTAAAGACTGCTAAATAAGACAACAGCACAGAGTCACAGATGTTTTCATGTTTCGTTCTCTATGATTTATAATGATTATATTATCATTTACTGTAAATGTACATATTTTAATATGATTTTATGTGCTTTTAACTCTTTTCTAGCAATATTAAAATTTCAATATTTGTGGCGGACAGATGAAAAGTCGAATAAAATGACTTAAACTTGATTTTTATATTTTCATATATTTTTTTGACAAACGACGTATAACCGAGAATGACTTAACTTGAAACAACGTAACCCAAGTTATACCTGTATTTTCCTTAATATAAGAAGAATGTAAAGCAATTGTTGTGTGTCTGTCATATAAAATTTAAATTATGTACAGTAAATTATAGAACTAAATTAATTCCTTTGTTTGTTAAATAATAATTTAATGAAAATTCATTAAACTTAACAGAGAAATGGAAGAGTATCAAATTATTATTATATTATCAATTTATCTTAATTCATAAATTTTATTTTTAATAATAATGAACAACAAGTAAGAAATATTCAAATTAATATTCTTAAAGCACGACTAAATAAGTACAGCAAACAAAATGGTATCACATATTTGATAACTTGATATAATTCACGTCATCTGGAAAACCCGAGTAATGCAAGTAATACAATCTATAAGGCATTTATTCATGTATGCCATCAATTGTCATGTTTGTAACTTAACCACCCATTAGTAATTGTATCTAGTAGTGTCTTAGTGTAAATTAAATGACAGATGTCTAAATGCCACCTTAAATCATAAATTTTGTAATTTAAAGTTAAGTGCACACTAGAACAGAAATACGAAATAGCCAAATGGACAGAACAGCATTGTCGTGAATGCATTCAGTGACACTGCAGTGGCAGAACTAGCAGAATTTACAAAAAAAGAATGAATGAAAGCATTCAAACAAGGTGTTTTTTTGGTATAAGTAACAAACAGAAAAAATTAGTGGTACTATCCTTCTGCCTGCTTGACATGCACACATTCATAACGTGTAATGCAGGAAAATTATTTTTTTCTCCATCTGCTCAGTCCTTCCAAGTGTGCACTTACCGCTATACAATATAGATTTTTCTTGCTTAAAACAGATTACATATATACATGAACACATTTCTCTTATTCTTATTTATCTAAAACAAATTATTTAACTCAGAATGTACTTTCAAGTTTCTCAAGTAAAACTGTATTGAAGATCTAAAATACTCCACTCTCCATAAAATTTCTACTGGCATGTTGCCATCTAAAGTAAAATTATTTCATTTTATTTTTTTACGGAAGATTAGTTTTATAGTTTTTAATACACACCACACACAGACATATATATACAGTATATAGAGTAAATAGATCTTTCCTGTATGAAATTCTATTCTTTAAATTAAATATTCATCAACATATTTACAAAAAGTGTATAAATTTTAAAGATATAAAAATATCCAAAAAAATTAATTTTTCTCTTGTTGTAAACTTGTTCAGTAAATTA